AAAATATATAAAAATCAAAGTAATATATGTTGGAAATGTGGAGAAAGGGCAGGTACATATGTGCTGGTGGGACTGCAGCTTAGCAAAAAAATATTGGAGGGAGATAAAGGAATATTTTCAAGCCATGGATGCTTGAATCAGTGGATATAAAGGGACAACTATGGGCCTTTGCAGACTGCCAGAAATAGTGCAAATTGAGTCCACTTTAAGGGTTAGGGTTAGTGCTAGGGAATCATGGGAACTGTATTTTATTGTGGCACCAGAGCTCTCTGACAGAGAAGGCTCAATGTCTCAGAAAAAAACAATTCCTATGATTCCCTAGCACTAACCCTAACCCTTAAAGTGGACTCAATTTGCACTATTTCTGGAAGTCTGCAAAGGCCCTATGTTCACAAGCATTCAAAGTGTTGCAATGCTAAGCATTAACACGAGAGGACAGTGTCTCCTTTCTGGAGATCTGTTTCCAGATTGTTGGAAACTAAGCCCAAAACTTACGCTGTGTGCAGTAGGGACCGGTCCAGCCAGGCGTGCATCGACATTCGCCATCATGAGGGCTGCATGTTGCACCATTGTGACAGCTGCAAGAGTGGAAACAGTCTGCACCCCAGAAACCCACTGGACAAGCTGTTGAAAGAGAAAGAGAGAAAGAAAAGAGGAGGAGAGAATGGAAACGTGTTCTTCCATATTTCACTTTGGAAGAAAGTTCGCCAATCTGGTTGACTTGCAGCCACTACAGAAATGAATGGAAAGCATCGAGCACACACAGGAAAGTCTCATGCCTGGTGTGGATAATGGGACAACTTGGAAAACTGACTTTTCTGGATTGAAGTTCCATGTGCCCACACTGGCTGGGGGGATTGTGGGGGCTGCAATCCAAACAAAGTAAATTTCACAAGTTCTGGGGAGCAAAATACCTTTGGAAATATTGGGAAGTATAGAAGTGTTCTATCAGGAACAACTGCTTGTTAAGACATTTTGAACAGTCACAACGGCTTCTGAAGAAAACCCCAAAAAATTCACCATTGGCCTATCTTAAATAGAAATGAACAGTCACTCCTCAATTACTTTCTAAATATAATGAAACAATCCACAAAATTGACAGCCTTCCTCATTTTTGTCTTGAGCGACAGCCATATTCAGCCCGGAGAAGAGGCACAATAAAAGCAAAATTACAGCTGTCTGTTTTTATCCGATCCCTACTTTATCACTGGAGGTTTAATGTATTTTACTGGGAACGCCTGTCTAATGCCTTTGCTGCCTCGTGAATACGAAGCAACATTTCTGAATGAAAGGCTGGGGCTTCCCAGGGACAATCTGCCTCCAATTAAAGGTTTGTTTGGGAAACGCCAGTTTTTGGATCCGCAAATGTCAATCTTCTACCTAAGCAATTTTGCCACATGTCCTTCCAAAAAGCACTCAGACTTTTAACAAGTAAATTACCTGTAATAGGAATATCTCATCTCTCTAATTTCCCAGCCATATGGACCTTGCAACACAGAACTGTCGACGGTTTAATGATTTCTTCAGGAAAAGTGTTGGCGGAAAAAAAGATATCAAGAGACCTTCCTTTCA